GTCCGGTACAGGCGCGACACTGAGGGTTGCGATCCGTTGCCGGTCACGAAAAAAGACAAAAAGGAAAAAAAAAAAAAAAAAAAAAAGAAGATAATAAACTATAAATAAACAAACCTCAGAAAATATGAAGTATTTTTACTGGTATAAAATGTTCTGTTTAGGTAAATGATAATGATGACACATAAAGACATAGAACAAGTATTTTCTTCATCAGTTCTCTTAAAATTTAGGCTTGCATTTTGAATCCTCTTTAAAAATGTGTTGATAAATTCATTTTATTTTTGATTACTGTAAAATATCATATATGCTTATAAAAGTAAAAAATACTGAAATGCTAAAAAATACTAAAATACTAAAAAATTAAAAGAGAGTGAAACACTAACAGCAGATTTCTTCATAGATCATTTCCCCCTCCACTTCCTGATAAACTTTCCCTCATTATTTCTAACAGATTTATGTTCCTCCTGTTCCTTGTACTCTGTGTTGAAAATCATACTACCATGCAAAGTTCCCCTCCCTTAATGGAGCACAAGTGATTACCAGATACATAAAAGCAACACAATGTCCCAACATAAAATTTCATTTATTTTTAAAAATTTTTATTTATTTACTTTGGGTTTTATTTTTGGTGGCTTACCAGTATGGAGATCTGAACCTTTGACTTTGGTGTTATGAGACAATTCCACTTAATGCCATAAAAATTCTTAAAAAGTTATTTCAGTATTTATAAATGACAGGTTATATACTGAGAAAATTAGACTCTTTAAAGAACAATATTTATTTGCACTTAGGGGGTCAGCAGTCTTTCAAACTCCACCAAATTCCTGGCATATTCATCCCCCACTACAATCTTGGCTGCTCAAGTCAAATGCTTGGTTATGTTACAGCACATCATAAGTACTAAAATTCTGTTCAGGTAATTCTGTGGTGGGAGGAAGAATTCTGGCTTAAAGAATGACCTCTAAATCTAAAACATGAAAAAATGCACCAAATAAAATGGTGATTAGCAAAATCCTGAAAACAAAGAGAATGTTTTTAAAATTATTCTATGTCTGTGGGCATTATAAAGTATGCCATTGTTTAATGAATAATAGGTCTATCAGACTGATAAAATATATCTGAACAAAGAACAAATTGCTTCCATATAAGCCATTATGTTTCAGTTCTCCACAATACAGGAGAAATACTCAATGTAAGAATGAAAATGACCTTCCATTTAAGAAACAAATTAAACTGGAAAGAGATTTGTGAAATTTACTAATTTTAGAACTTTGAAGCCAAAGAATTTTGGGATCAACTATAGAATATATTCATATAATTATAGTAGCATATGGTGGATAATCAGTAGGTCACTAGTCTAATTTTGAGAAAATTATAAGTACAAGGAAAACAATCTTCCCTAAACTATAGGAAAACCACGTTAGCAGTGATATAAACGGATAAA